CTCGCCGGGGCCGCGACGGGGCCGCGGCGGGACCGCTACCACGCCGGCGACTTTCTGATCGAGCTCTGGCCGATGCAGATCCGACGCTGCTTCGGCTTTCCCGACCGCCGGTTGTTGATTCACGACTCCGGGAAGCTGCAGTTTCTCGCCCTGGCGTTAAAAGAGCTCCGCCGGGAGGGTCATCGGATGCTGCTTTTCACCCAGTTTGTGCAGATGTTGAACATTTTGGAGCGCTTTTTGGGGCTGATCGGGATCGCGTACCTCCGGCTCGACGGCGCCACCCCGGTGGCGCGACGGCAGGAGATCGTGGATCGGTTTAACACCGACGACCGCCTCACCTGCATGATTCTTTCCACCCGTTCGGGCGGGATCGGGCTCAACCTCACGGGCGCCGATACCGTGATCTTCTACGACAGCGATTGGAACCCGACGATGGACCTCCAGGCGCAGGATCGCTGCCATCGCATCGGGCAAACGAAGCCCGTCACGATCTACCGCCTCGTGAGCGAGCACACTGTCGAGGAGAGCATCCTGCAAAAGGCGCGGGAGCGGAAAAAGCTGAACAACGTCGTCATCCGCGGCGGGCAATTCCACGCCATCGTCGACGTGACGACGGAGTACGACGACAGCGCGGCGGCCTTCGCCGCGCTCTCCGACCCCGTCAATCTACGGCATTTCTTCCACGACCTTGACGAGGACGCGGTGGTGCCGGTCGAGCCGATTCAACCCGCCGCTGCCGCGTCTGCTTCGCCTGGGGCGCTCTCCACGGCGGATATTTTGCGCGAAATGGGGAATGTCGAGGACGACGAGGATCGCGAGGCGCAGATGCAGCTGGAGCGCGAGCTTCGCCAACGACGCGACGACGAGGCCGCCGAGGTTGGGGATCCGGAGGAGGAGGGAAACGAACGAGGCGGCGCCGGCGCCGGCGGCGGTGAGGGGGGGGGCTCCCCGATTGCAGACGATTCCGCCACGTCGTTCAATCCGAGCGAACAAGACGAACTCCTCCGCGCGCTGTTCTCGGAACCCCCGGAGGAAGGATTCTACCACGGATCATCCCTTCTTCGCGAACCCCATCTCCAGCGGGCGCTCCGCAAACGTCGTCGGGAGTTGCTGTCAAAGACGGCGCGGACGCCGTTGGATAAATTTTTAACCGTCCGCTACGGGGAGTTTTGCGAGGAAGACGCCCGCGCGCGGTACGACGCGCTTTGCGTTTCTTATCAAGATCAGCTCGGTGATGTGAGCAACAACGAGGAGTTACCCCACTTTAGAACAAAAATTGATCTTTGAATGGAAAGAGGTGCAGGGATTGGGTGGGGGGTGTGGGGGGTGTGGAGGCCTCAGTGAGTTAGTGTTTGGTCTTTGCAAGGTGGGAACTCTCGATAACGCAGCTTTAAGGTGGCAAGCAGGATTCGCTCCGTGCGACTTCATGTGATAGGCCACCCTAGAACATGCATGAATGTGAAGAGGATCGTGTTATATCAAGGTCTCAGCTTTGTTTCGCATTCATTTCTTTATCCTTTTTTTTTTCGCTCTGGTTTATTATTATTATTACTATTTTTGAGATTCACCTATCCCTTTTTGAACATATATACTCACCAGTCTATCCACATCTGTTGAGAGAGTTATTTCTGGCCAAATCAATTCACCCTCTACCCTGATGGAACCAAATTTTCAGCCCACCAACCCCGCCACCGGCGAGGCCCTTCCGTTGGTGCACTTTCAGGACGTTTCGGAGGTCCCCAAAGCGATGGAGCGGGCCCGTGCGGCGCAGCGAGAATGGAGCAAACTCTCCTACTCCCAGCGGGGCAAACACCTACTTAAAATACGCGATTTCTTATCCGAACACGCCGATCACGCCTCGACGTTAATCTCGCAATACACGGGCAAGCTGAAACAAGACGCCCTCGCCACGGAGGTGCTGCCGAGTCTTCTGGGGTGCGCGTGGTATGCGACGAACACCGCGAGGGTGTTGCGGCCGGAGACCCTCCCTCGCGGAAGCCTTCTTTTCGCGAACAAACGCAACACCCTCGTGTACGAACCGCTCGGGGTGGTGGGGATTATCTCACCGTGGAATTACCCGTTTTCGATCCCGTTTGGGGAAATTTTGATGGCCTTGATGGCGGGCAACGCGGTGTTGTTGAAGGTTTCGAGCCATGTAACGGCGATTGGGGAGTTCATTACCACTTGCATCGCCGCCGGGGGGTTGCCGGAGGGGCTTTTTCAGCATCTCGTGCTACCAGGCCCGAAGGCCGGCCCCGCACTTCTCCACGCCGGCATCGCGAAAATCTTCTTTACCGGGAGCGTACGGGTCGGAAAGGGGTTAATGGCGGATGCCGCGCCCTATCTCACCCCGCTTTCCCTCGAACTTGGCGGGAACGACGCGATGGTCGTCCTCGACGACGCCGACCTCGAGCGGGCGGTGAACTGCGCGTGTTGGGCGGGGTTTCAAAACGCCGGGCAGAGCTGCGGCGGGGTCGAGCGCGTGTACGTGGATCGCGCCCTTTACGACGCGTTTCTCGCGCGGCTGGTGGAAAAAACGCGGGCGCTTCGCCACGGCGCGGAGCGGGGTGCCTTTGACGTCGACCTCGGCGCGATCACCACCGCCGCGCAGCTCGAGGCGATTCAGGCGCAGCTCAACGAGGCGGTCGCGATGGGGGCGCGCGTGGTGGCGCAGAGCCGCGCCGCCGACGCGGATCCCGCGGGAAATCGAAACCCCGACGGCGGGGAATCCACCCAGGGGCGTTTTTTCCCCGCCACCGTCGTGGTGGGGTGCACGCCCGAGATGCGGTTGATGCGGGAGGAGACCTTCGGGCCGATCCTCGCCGTGGTGCCGTTCGACTCCGAGGATGAGGCGGTCGAACTCGCGAACGGCACCACCCTCGCGTTGACGAGCAGCGTTTTTTCACGAAACGCGAGCCGCGCGCGGGCCTTCGCGCGGCGTTTGGAAAGTGGGGTCGTGACCGTCAACGATCATCTCTTTTCGCACGGGATGACGGAGGCGCCGTGGGGGGGGTGGAAGGAAAGCGGCCTCGGCCGCACCCACGGCATCCTCGGCTTGAGGGAAATGTGCAACGTGAAGTGCATTAACGAGGATCTCATCCCGTCGCGGTGGATGCCGCGGAATCTGTGGTGGTATCCGTTCAGCAAGCAGACCTATGAGGTGCTGCTCGCCGCGCAGAGGCTGGTTTCCGCACGAAGGATCTCCGAAAGGATCGCCGCGGTGTTTTTTATTATCAAGAATTGTGGGTACATGTTCAGGCCGTGGAGGATATCGGAAAAGAAGTCGGACTAGTCTATCTGTTGCCATAACGGACCGGAGAATTTTTTTGATCTGCTTTAGTTGCGTTTTCCTTTTGGTTTCCTTCCGAGAGTGATCGGCTTGCTGACTTCTTTCTTTAGAGAGGGATTCTATACATTGCTTTTACTCTTAAAGTTTTACGCAGGGGGTGGTCAATCAATTTTCAGCAAAAAAAATATTTCCGTCCTATTTCTTTTAATTCCCCTCCGCATCTTCCCCCTACTTTCCTGTCTGTTTGCGGTACGATCATGAATGACAAAATATTCTTACTTCGGCGTTGTTCATACGCGTATTATTATTGTTACTGCGGTTGTTATCACCCCCTCACTTCCCAACCCTGTTGTCTTCTATACATCAATGCAGATATTAGGAAAATGAGTTACCTCGAGATAACACCAGGCGAGCGTCAGCACGTGGATTACTTGGCTGATCTCTTTGCGATTGTCGTAGCAATCGAACATATTGAAAAGGCAAATCGTCGGGATCTGATCACACAGGAGCAGTATAGCGCGACGGTGCGTCGGCTTTTGGAGAAGTACAAGCACACCGTGAACTACCTCGAGAAGGGCTGCAATCCGTACTTCACGAATATCGATGACTTCCTGAATACGTATTGCTCTCTTTACCCGGCGGCGCGCGCGACGATTAAGGAGGGGCCCTTCAGTAACCCGTCCGAAAACTCAGCGCGCTTTCTCGCGCGGCAGGCGCTGGAGTGCGGGCAGTACTTTATTACTTTATTGGATGCCATTCGGCTACAACAAACCGCGGTCGACGCCCTAAACCCTTTGTTGACGGAGCTTTTGCAGGGACTCAATAAGTTGGAGCTGAAAACGCACGACTTTTACGTGCGGCTAGTTAACTGGCATACAACGTTGAACAGCATGGGGGCGGCTGATACCCTGGATGATGCCAAGGCTAGGGAGTTTGCTTACGATCTAGAAAGAGGCTACAACTGTTTGCGCGCATACTTGGATGATGACGGAAAGGTGAAGGTCTGACTGGGATGGCTGTGAGGTCAGAAATTTGAGTTTAGGCCTTTCTGGTACATCGCACGACCAGGTTTCATATTGGCAGTCTATTATTGTTTTTTTACTTTTTATTTTCGTGTATTCATGGGGGGAAGGAAATGTGCTTCTTTGCTTTCTTTTTTACAAGTGCAATATCCCTTTTCCAGACCCTTAGTGGGTGGATACGGTTCGATTCTATAAGCCTCTCTTCATTGGTACTGGCGTTTCTTTTAACACCCTCCAATGCCTTCGAAATTTATCTTTTCCCGCACAGATATACTTTTTACATTACGCTTGAAAAAACAGTGAATTCCAAAATATTATACCTTTCCTTCTTGTATCACTATTGGTGGGATACTATTATGAATTTTCCCAACCGATTGCGAGAGGTTTTACCCCTATTCGATTTCACAAGCCTTTTTCGATCATTTCCTCTCGGAGTTGTTTTTTTTTCATAACCGCGATTCACAAACGGGTCGCTTAGGAAGTACTTCTCACCCATGTCGCGTTACGTCCCGCCTCATCGGAAGGCGGAAGATGGATCGGAAGGGGAGATGAGCGATATGGCCTCTGCGGCCTTTCAACAGGCGGCGTGGCAGGCCCTCCGACGCTCCATTACGGGGATTATCAACCGGATTAGCAGCGAGAACCTTTCGGATTCGGCGACGCAGCTCTTCCGTGAGAATCTCGTTCGCGGACGCGGTCTTCTCGCGCGTAGCCTCTTTCGCGCGCAGCAGGCCGATCCCGAACTCACCCTGGTGCTCGCCTCGTTGGTGAGTCGAATCAACAAGGAGTTCCCGCCCGTCGTCTTCTTGCTCTGTAAGCGCCTGGTGGTGCAATGGAGGCGGACCTATCTCCGAAAGGATTGGCAATCGCTTGAAAATATCAGCCGATTCCTTGCCGGTCTGTATGTTTTCCACGTCGTGGAGGTGGATCTGATTTACCAGATTATCTTGGAGCATTTGGGCTCGGAAACCCGTAGTGAGGAGGATATTGATCAGGCCGCTAAGCTCTTCCGTGCAACATTCCGCGCGATGTCCGAGCGTGCGCGGGCGGAGTTCCACGAGCAGGTGCTCACCCCCTTCCGTGATTTTTTAGCCATGGATGATGATACCATGCGTCTCTCCGCACGTGCCGAGGCGGTGCTGGAAAGCTGCCTTAAGGAGGTTCAGAAATGGGAGCGACAAAAAGACGAAGTTAGCGTGATCCCTGAGAACTTACTACTCTTCGATATTGACGAGCAAACCACTCATTCGCTTAACTTGCAAGAAAAGTACGCCCCGGAGGATCACCTGGATCGCTACGCGTTCGATCCGAAGTATATAGAGCACGAAGAAACGTACGAGATCGCCCGCAAGGCGATTCTCGGGGAGAACTGGGAAATGGAGCTCCTGGAGCAGGTCGCGGCCGCCGAGGAAGAGGATTCGCAAGCCGAAACAGACGGGGAGGAGGAAACCGGTGGGGGCGCGGAGGCTGGAAAAGGCGTTTCCCAATCCAAAGAGGCTTCCCGTGAGGCCGCTGCGCAGCAGGCGCTCGACGCCTCGAAGCCGGCGATCAGTCATGAGCAACGACAACTTCGAAAGGAGGTGTACTTGGCGATATGCAGCAGCGTGCGCGCGGATGAGGCGGTGCATAAAATTTTGAAGCAAATGAAACCCGAAACAGAACGCATAGTGTGTTTTATGATCATCGAAGGTTGCTGTGAAGAGAAATCTTACCGGAAGATGTACGCGATGTCGGCCGAGCGGTTATGTAAGAGTAAGACGCAGTTTCAAGCCTTCTTTGTGGAAGCCTTCCGTGAGCGGTACCTCGGTGCGGGGGATTTGACGTTAAAACAGATCGAGTACACCTGCAAAATTTACAGTCATCTGTTGCGAACGGATTCGCTCTACTGGAATCGGTGCCTTGGGGTGATGGATATCCTGCACAACAACGAATCCCAGCGTTTGTTTATCAATTTTCTACTCCAAGGGCTTACGGAGGAGATGGGGGGTGCCGCTCTGCGGGCGCGCCTGGAAACGGACTCTGAATTGGCGTTTTACATACGCAAACTATTTCCTGTAGAGCAGGATGCGGCCTCGTTGGAGGCGGCGATTAATCTTTACGCCGCGATGGGGCTTGCGCATCTCACGGCGCCTATGCGTCTTGCATTCGAAAAGCTACGCGAATCGGGGCGAAAGCGTGCTAGAGTCGAGGATGATCGAGAATACCTATGAATGGGAACCTTGCATTTCGTTTTTCTTCTGTAAAATTAAGTTTGAGCCACTCGCCATCCAGTGCAATCCGCCAAACGAATTCGATTCGTCTGCGTTACGCCAATAAATCTTGTGATTATGATCTCACATCGCATTCTCTAGCACCCCGAAACTGAGGCATTAATTTATCTCGATTGAAAATAAACGATGCTATCTGCTTCTTCTCATTTTTATTTTCCCATTTCTGTGCATCAGTTTTACCGCCTTGTGGAAGTGTATGAATATCCTCAACAGTGATATTTTGTTGAAATTTTAGAATCCTTGTAAATTAACATCCATATATCTCTATCTATCGATAGATAGATATTAAAGCGATCTAAACGATTAGAATACCCCCCCTCGACCACCGATGTCCACGCCATGTGCGAGTTTTGTGAGGGTGCGGCCCTTCAACGAGCGGGAGGCGAGGATTTGCCCGGAAGGCTACTCCATCCCGCGCGAGGTGATCACGTGGGATGGGAAGGACGTGCTGACGCTGCTCGACCCGCAGGAGGACTTCGCGCCGCGGCGAAACAGCACCTTCCACGGCATGAACGTCCTTTGGTCGTTCAAGGACGAGGAGAGCGCGATGCCGCCGTGCACGCAGGCGGATATCTACAACCGCGTCGTCGCGCCCGCGATTCCGGGGATTTTGGAAGGCTACAACGCGGCCTTCATCGTCGCCGGGGCCTCGAACAGCGGGCGGCTGTACACCCTCTACGGCGACAACCCCGACGGGCCGAACCGCGGCCTGCTTCCCCGCTTCGCCGAGACCATCTTCGAGGCCTTCGAGAAGCAATCCCACGAGGATAGCGTGCTCTCCCTGCGGATGGAGTGCATTGATATCGTGGGGGAGTCCTACGTGGATTTGTTGGCGGTCCCGCGCGGTCGAACGAACGCGCCGCCGTTCGGCGGGGGGGAGGATTTGAAGGTCGTGCAGGCCGCGGAGGGCGCGCGGCTGCACGGCGCCACCGAGGCGGAGCTCCGTGGGCCCACCGACTTCCGCGCCCTTCTCCGCCAAATCCACCGCGGCGTCGTCGGGCGAAACCACACCCACACCGTGAGCCTCCGCTTCACCGAGACCTTCCGGTTTGACGATCCGGATAATTTCGGGCAGCCGGTGAATAAATCCCGCCACGTCCACGTCGTGTTCGCGTTGCTGCGGAATATGCCGCCGGCCTTCCAGCGCTGCATCGACGTCGCGGTCGAGCACGATAGCGGGGAGAACCCCCTCGCGAAGGTGCCCGTGCGGGAAACGGCCTTTACACGGCTTTATCCCTTTGTGCTGCAGCAAGGCTACCACCTCCACGTGATCTCGTGCGTGAGCCCGTACTACGAGCACGTCCGGGAGAACCTCAACGCCCTTCTCTTCGCTGTGAAGGTGAAGAGCCTCGTGGGGAAGCCGAAGCTGCATCAGGATGAGCAGCTCCTCGAGATGCGCCTCCTCGCGGATGAGGTGAAAGACTTGAAGGTGACCGTCCGTCAGCAGAACGAGGCGACGCAGATCGTGCAGAAGGAGCTGAACGCGCGAGAGCTGGAGTTGATGCGGCAGGAGGCGATGTACAACGAGGCCAACAGCGCCCTCAAGCAGCAGCAGGTCAAGCTGAGGCTCGTCGCGATCGCACGGAACTTTGAGGCGACGCGGTCGAAGTACGCGCTTGAAAAAATGCGGCAACAATTCAAGCAAAAGCTAAGGGAGCTTGAATCTTCACAGGGGAAGCATCAAAATGGTATCGACTCCTCTGATGACTTAATGCAGGCGATTGATGATTGCAAAATCCGAACGGAAGCGTTGGAGCTTAAAATAAGAAAGCAAACGGAGAACATAAAGGTGTATGAGTCGCGTATTGATAAATACAACGCGGAGAAGGAGGAATTAGCATACCTCGAAAAGTTCAATGCCTCCACACCCGAGGCGCAAGCGAAATCACTTGTAGAGCATTCCGCTGAGCATAAAGCCGCGCTGGAGGAAATAAGGAAGCTCCAAAAAGAAGAGGCGGCTATCCGCGCTTCAGATAATTCAGATGAACGGATGAAGGCGTTTCAGAAGGAGTACGACCTCGTATACGCTGCGGAGAAGCCGACGCGTGATAAGGAGGCCCTTTTGAAGCAAATAGAAACACTGGAGAATGAAACGGCTCTTGCGGATACGGAAATCATGCAATTACAGGCCGAAATTGAACAGTCGAAGAGTAAATGTAACTGTGCAGTGATGTAGGACCTTTCGAGATTATTTGAAGAATATTTAAAAAGTGATCCTGGGCTGAGCCAAAATTAAGAAAGCCTTATGAGGAAAAATAATTTCGAAGCTAAAACCACTAGTATAGGACAGTCATGATGAGTTTTTGTTTGTTTTAAATTTTTACATTACTGTTTGTGGCCAACCCAATCAGACGTTTATAGATTGTATTGTACGTTTTTTTATTTTTTCTTTTTCGTATGAAGTTGCATTGCATTGTACGCCTCATTGTCTTTTTTTGCCATTTTTTTTCCCAGTCCCCAAGTCTTGAGTAAATGTATTGAGACACTTTATAGTGTACTTATGAGATGATACCACCATCGATTCCCTTCTCTAGAGTTATTTTCCCTCTTTTGGGGAAGCCACGTTCGATTGTACGGTTTTCTCTGTAGGTTTGATGCGTTGGCATTGATAATAAGGCGATATTTTTTTTTTTGAACTAACTATATGGTTCTGCTCTTCGTGAATTTTGCTACCATGCTACGCAGAACGTAATCCTTTTCTAATGTCGCCGTTTTTTTTCTGATTGTTTTTGTTTCCCTTCCCCCTAGTTTTCTATTTAGGAATAGTTTTATTGTGCAAATTGACAACAAGCACCGTTTCCAAGTATCCATCCTGTTTCTTGTTTGGTCATTTCTTCGCTCCCCACAAGATATACCAACAAGGGCGGAGTCTTGCATAAAAAATAGCGCAGTTCATTGCCAGATTAAAGGCACTCCCCCCCTCAAAAAAAAACAACAACAACTGAAATGGTTCAGCTGTCTTTTTTCGAAGAAATCGCGGATAAGGCGTCTCGTCTTCTCCCGACCCCGTACATGGAGATCGTGGAGGAGTGCACGAAGCCGGAGCTCTCCGTGCCGCCGTACGAACACGTCTTTTTTCTCTGCAAAAAAGCGAATAACAAACCCGGCGAGATCGTCGACATCGTCCGCGCGCTGCGGCGCCGCATCTCCGACGACAATTTCGCGGTAAAGCACCTGATGGTGTTGTTGTTGGATGTGATGGTGCGGAACTGCGGGCTCGCCTTCCACGCGGAGGTCTGCGCGCAAAAAGGGCTGCTGCGGGATTTAGTGAACGTGGCGACGTCGGTGCCGACCTCCGCGCGCGAGGTGCAGGCCCACCGCGCCGCGCTGACGCTCGTGTTGAATCTTTCGATTTGGTTCGCCGGGCATCCGGACCTCCGCTGCCGCCTCCTCGCGACGCTCGCGAATGACGTGCGGCAGCTCGCGGGGCCGAACGCCTTTGACGACATCACGCCGAACGTCAACGCCCGCATCCACCTCGGCGACGTGCCGCCCGATTCGGGCTGTGCGAAATCGCCCTCGGCGATCGCGGGAGGCAGGGGACGGGGGGGCTGCGCCGCCCTCCCCGCCGACGCCGTTCACGCCATCGCGATCGATCTCCCGACGGAGGAGCGGATCTCGGCGATGCTCGACACCTGCGTGGCCCTCTCCGAGTACGTCGATAACGCGCAGGTGGATGCGCAGGGGAACGTCATCCACGACGCCGTCGTCGTCGGGTTCCTGCAAAAAGTCGAGGAGGACCACAACTACGTCACGATTTTGCTCTCCTCCAACCTCGCGGTGGATCGGGATGTGCTGCGGGCGATCAGTGATAATCAGGCGAACGTGATCGATCGGGTGCGGCCGCGGCGGTTGGCCCCGGGCGCCCCCGTGAGCTCCGGCCCGCCAAAGGAGCGAATCCCAACGGAGGCCTCGAGCGAACAACCGCCGGAAAGCCAGGCAGCGGGGAGATCCAAAGCGGTCGAGGAGCCTCCTAGCATCGACCAGATATTCAGCTCCGCGGCGGGAAGGGCGGGGGCGGGCTCGGCATTGAGCCCCGCACCCCTCTCCGAAAACGACGCCGCGGGTGAGGAGGATAAACCGAAAAAGGAAGCGGAGACGGGAAGGGAAGGGGAGGAGCACCCTGAGTACCGCGAAAGGGTGGAATCTGAGCACGCCACGCAGGATCCCGGCGAGGATCTCGAGCAGCAGCAATCACCCCCACCAGATGTGTTAGGGGTAGCGGCGGAAGCCACAACAACCGAGAAAAACAGCAATGTAGCGGAGGTTCCAGACGAAAAAGAATAAACCCCAGGTAGGGGGAAGAAAATACTTAGTTTATACGCGTGTTGACCGGTCGTAAGGCTGTTCTTGGAATGGTCTGATGTTATGCTATCAAAGTGTGTAGAAGGTGAGCTTTGCTTTTTTGTTATTATTATTTAGTTTTTATTTTCTTTTATATCATCGGATAGTTTTTTATCCTCTTGTGTTAGGATGATGGGCATTTATATCTGAGTGTGCGCATATCGAGATCACAACTGAATTGTCAAGATTGCATTCATATAATGATTACATCCCCTGTGAACTTTCGGTATCCAATTTTATCGACCACCTTCGCGCAGATGTGAGGTACATATTTATATTATAGTTAGGCGATTTATATTTCGACTTCAGCGCCCACCCTTTCTTAAATCTTTTTAATCTTTCATCGTTTGCATATTTTGTTGATTGTGCACTTGGAAAGTTGAGCAATGTAAACTTTCTCTATACGCACTAATTATTACAATCAGTCTTCCTCAACTTGATATCCTCCCCGTTCTTCCTTTCTTGCCCTAGATATATAAATATATAGCAATATTTCTTTAGTCTGAATTAAATATTGCATTACCATACACACTTTGTAGTCTTAAATTCGCTTCATCTATTCTATTACCTGACCTTATAATTGTTCATTCGAAATGCAGAAACAAAACAGCACGATCAGCTCACCTCCTCCCTTTACAGAGCTCCACACGCTAGTTGGGAAGTATCTTACCAAGGGCAGCGACGTCGAGGGATGGCAGCTGGACGCCATGGAGAAGGTCCCTGGTCGGTTTCAGGTGTACCCTTTTGTCGAACACCAACTTGTCGGTGCGAACCTGATCTACAAGAACCAGGAGCTCGGTCTTGAGGCTAAGTTCCGTTGGGCTAACGCGTGGAAGTCGTGGAAGCAATATATGCCGCATGTGAGCTACTTCTTCATCGACAAAGGTTTATCGCACAAGGTGGAGTTCAACGCACCGGTGGACACACTATCATATACCCTTAATCATCCCTCTATATCCGCGTCATGGTCGTCCGAATTGTCGAACAAGGGAGTCAGTACGTTTAATTTATCGACACGCCTCTGTAAACCGGTGTGTGCGGGCGTATCGTTTTTGTACGATCCGATCCGCAGCGGCATCAAGGACGCGGTTGCTTTAGTGACGTACGCAAATTGCCAAACCCTCGCCGGTGGAGACCTTGTCGCGAAGTATGCACTAAGTAACGGCCTCTCCCTACATCTCCGCGCCCCTGTTGATCCCTGTTCGAGCATTGTCGTTCTTGCAGAGCGGAACCGTTTTTTGGCAGGGTTGCATACGAGCCTAAACAACAGTGCACGCTTGATTGTGAACGCGAACCTTACAGATGGAAGCTGTACTTTGACGGCTATACGCAATCTTAGAGATATATGGAAGGTTAGCTTTACCTGTAGCCTTCCGGTTCTAAATACGGGCACGTTCCGTCCGAAGTATGGCATAAAACTATCCAATAAAGATGTAGAGGAATGAGGAAAGAATGATCGGCAACATGCATGAGAAATTATCGTATATAAACAACGATGGACCTATGCAGCTCTTAGCCTCATCATGCTCACTTTGGTATAGATATGTCTAGCATGGGAAACGGCACACATACATACTGAAGGAGTACGCTTTCCTTCTTTCCCTCTTCCCCTGAAGTCACCTTTTGAAGATAAAAACAATCCATATAAGCAATAATAACAAACCTTTCGTGGTATCGTCTTGAAAAATTCACAAGAGATGGGCAATAAGCTATTCTGTCTTAATCCAACTGGGTAGAGGCCTTTTACATCACGTAGTAGGGATTATACATGAATTTGCAGCCCCTCGATGTCGGGACTCTCTTCTTTTTCTAAGAGCAAGGAGGACTACTGGTACAAAAAATAGTAACATTGTAGGATGGCTCAGCATCTCTCTAAGATGGATAGCGTTGTTTTGGTCCTCGCTACAAGCCTCTTAATCCTTTCTGCAGCAGACTCTAGCAGCTGTATGAGGACAATTAAAGTATATTTATACCTCCCTTCCCACTCTTCTCCCATTCCCCCTCAATATATATATATATATATATATATAACAAAAGGAAAACGACAGCAAGGTTGTCTCGTCTTCCTCAACAGAGTTTTGATCGTAAAAGGGGAAAAGGGTAACTCTTTGCTAACCTGCAATCACTGCGGCCTTTGTACATGTGACAATTAGGAGCATTTTGCTTGCCTTTCACTCTGATTTTAGTGCCGTCAATCTCCTTTAAAATTATCTAATCGTATATGTTCTCCCAATAATATGAGGGTGTGATCCTTTTGTTTTTGCTCAGCTAACATAATGGTTTGTGTCACAATTTTCTTCTCTTTCTCATTTCTTCAAACCTTACGTGTGCTTTTTAGTGCTTTTTACTCTTCCATTACTACTCTTTCCATAA